AAGAATGGGAGTGAGAAAGGGAAATGGAGAGAACAACCAGGACTAGAACTGCCGTTGGCCATGTGGGAGTTCAGCACCCTTAACCACCATGCCAACTATTGGTCCCAATAAATATTTAATTTTATTTTATTTATTTACTATTATTTTTAAAATTTAACCAGAGAGAGACAGAGAGAGAAGGAAACTGAGAAAGCAAGCTGCCAGATCCAGGACTCAAACCACAGAGTGGGAGTCTAGCACCCCAACCACTACACCACCAGCCAGCCTCTCAAATGTTTTACAAATGAAATCTATGTCACCCAAATATATCAACACACTAAGCCCAATAAAGAAACTCTATCTCCTTTCACTTATGACCCTTTCAATACATTAATGGAAACCTACTACACAAATAAATACCTAAAAAGGCCAACCAAAAGATACAGAGGTAGTAGGTTTCTTTATTTTATATCCTACTATCTTTTCTATAGAGATGCTTATGGTCCTTAAAGATTCCGTTACAGGCATTTTTCTGTGACCTTACAATTCCTTTGACTTCATCAACACAATTTATGTTTTCAGTTGCCCATGTTTCTATTCTCACTTAAACCTTATACTTTCTGTTCTATTTTGTTTTACTAGGACATCTTGAGGCATCTATAAACTGCAATCCAGTGGCCTTATAACTCTGCAATGCTGGTCAGAAGACCAGCAAGGTAGAAGAATATTGTTTAGTTAGTGGCCAATGAATTTTAAGTATATCCATATGTGCAAAACACGTTGATTTAAGAAGTACTAAGAGGCCAGCCTGTGGCCTGATGGTTAGGATGGCTGGATCCCACGCAGGCAACTATACAGTTCAAGTCCCAGATCCAGCAGCTTTAGAAGCATATCAGGCACACAAGTGTGCCGAAAATCCTGACAAGAGGGAGAAATAGAGAAGGGAATGGTACGACTATTCCCCATGAGAGGGAGAGGCTGCTTTCTTACTCCCCTGGCCCCTCTCTCTGGCAAGTACACTCACTCAGAGAGTATAGTCTGGCAAAATTCAGAAAACAAAAAAGCCCTAAAAGGTTTCTCTGGGGTGGGGGGGGAGGTTTTTCTTATAGGGCATGCTTCTTGCTGGAGTGAGACAGAGAGACAGTAAGGGAAAAGTGAGAAGTCACCCCGCAGGGGCGATGGCCACACTGCAATCCCTTCTCCTCCTCCGTTCTCATCTTGGGCAGGCACACGCATGCCTGCATGCCCAGAGTGAGTTTCAAGCTGCTGGGTCCAAGACTCAAATCTCAGTCAGCCACATATAAGCCTTAACAATTATACCACCTGCTGGCCCAGGTTTCCTGAATTTCAACATCCCCTTCTTTATCTATCTGTTTTTTGGTTTGTTTGTTTGTTTGTTTTTTTTGAAGAGGTTTTTGCTATAGGGACCATGCGCTTGCCAGACAGACAAAAAGACAGAGACAGAAAGCGAGAAATCACCCCCTAGGGGGAATGGCTATGCCGCAATCCCTTCCCCTCCATTCTCCTCTCGTGATCTTGGGCACGCACGCACACGCGCCCGGCGTGAGTTTTATGCTACTGGGTCCAGGACGTGAACCGTGGTCGACTACATGGGAGTCCAGCGACATAGCCATTATGCTAACTGCTTGTCCCCTTTACCTATCTGTTTTGAATGATACAATGATACAAACTATTTTAAAGAACTTCGATGTGGCCTCAAACCTTAAAGAATCTCTGGAGTCATTTTAGGCTCTAAGAACCAAAGGTAAGCCTCTGAATTATTCCACCCAAATAGATTCCAAGGTATATTTTGCAATCAGTTAAACAATACTTGAACAATGTATAAACTTTAAGGTTTATTCAAAACTACAGCTCCTTGCTAAGGTGCTCACTGCAAAGATGATTCCAAGTCATTTCCAGTTCTAAACAGGTATTTGAAAAAAAAATTTTCTCAAGTTTTTGCCATAGGGGACATATATACTTGCTAAAGAGAGCCAAGGAGAGACAATAAGAGGAAAAGTGAGAACCATCCCTCAGGGTAATTGGCCACATCACAACTCTTTGTCCATTTTCCTCCTAGGATTTTGGGCACATGGGCACAATGCACTCAGCGTGATTTTCAAGCTGCCAGGCCCAGAACCCGAACCAGGGTCAGCCATGTGGGAGTCCAATGCAGTAACTACTGTGCCACCTGCTGGCCCCTATCTTTGAAGTTTTGATGCTTAAAAACAATTACTATCCAGAGCTAAACCATAATAAATACTGAGAACACTGACCATAGGCATCTAACTATCCATATTAGGGAATACAATAACACCTTTCAATTGTTCACTCCTATTTTTCACAGTTAATTATTTATTTTTTTAATTTGCCAGAAGGTGTATGCACTTGCTGGAGAGAGATAAAGAGAGAGGGAAAGTGAGAAAGTGAGAAAGCACTCCCCCAGGGGGAATGGTCACTCCACAATTCCTTCTCCTCCATTTCTCCCTATCACTATTTAAGGCACAGGAGCCTGGCATGTTTTTCAACCACGGGGTCCAGAACTCAAATCACACAACTGGCCATGTGGAATTCATCCACCTTAACCACCAGGTCACAGACTGGCCCCATAGTTATTTCTAAACATATTAAAGTAACCTTTTTACCACTATTATTATTCTATATAGTTACCAAGACTCAAGCCCAATATTGTTATTGTTACATAAATGAGGTTAGGGGAGAGGACAGACTGTGTAGTTTTATTCTTCCTTCTCTTTAAATAATCCAAAAATAATACTGAAAATGGAATAGACACAAATTTATTTGATTGATGAACAGAGAATTTAAATGTTCAGTCTAGACAGTGGTGCTGTCGTGCCACATGAGAAAGGTCCTGAGTTCATGTCTCAGGACCTCCCTGGGCATGTGTGCTTTGTGATGCAAGCCAGCTGGGAATGGGGGCAGACTGAAATAGAAGGACCCTGCTGAGGTAACTATCTCTTTGTATCTTTCATTCTTAAAAATTAAGAAAGTAACTTAAAGAACTTAAATGTTGTAGGTAAAATATTCAAGGTAGAGGTAACAGAGCTAGAGTATTTAAAACATTCATCTAGGGACTAGCAGATGGCATAATAGCTATGTCGCTGGACTCCCATAACAGCTATGTCGTTGGACTCAACCACGGTTCAAGTCCCGGACCTGGTGCCTTAAACTCATGCTTGGCATGTGTGTGTGCATGCCTAAGATCCCAAGAGGAGAATGGAGAGAAGGGACTGCAGCGTGCCACTGGGGGGTGATTTCTCGCTTTCTGTCTCTCTCGTCTTTCTCTGTCTTTCTGGCAAGCACACAGGCCCTATAGCCAAAAAAAACCTCTCCAAAAAAAAACTTAAACATTCATCTAAAGATATATTTAATTTATAAAATAATATGCTCATTCTTAGATTCATATTTATACACAGTAGTATTCTACTTAAATATCTTATAGCCAAAAATATGGAACTACTAATACACAGATATTGATAAAACCTATTTTATGTAATTTATATATGCTTCACAGCCATTTGACATAAGGATATTTCTCTATTGTGGTTAACTCAACTTCACTTTGGAATTAAATATTTAATTTTTTTTTTTTTAAAGATTTTTGTTATAGGGCATGTATGTGCACTTGCCGGAGAAACAGAGACAGAGACAGAGACAGAAAGTGAGAAATCACCCCCCTGGGGGGGGGATGGCCATGCCACAGTCCTTGCTCTTCCATTCTCCTCTCAGGATCTTGGACATGCACACACACGTGCCCAGTGTTAGTTTTAAGTTTTTGGGTCTGGAACCTGACCCAGTCAACTCCATAAAAGTCCAGCGAAGTAAAGACTGTACACCATCTGCTGGTCCTAGAATAAAGTAATTTCTAAAAGAAAAAAATCTGCAAATATTCTCTTCCTTTCAATTTAAAAATCATTTTTAAATTAAATGAAGGGCTGTTAAATAAGACTATGTTTCAAAATAACTTTTTTTAGTAAACAAGAAGTTATTTACTTATTTCTATTGACCAAATGTACTGTCCAGAAAAATTTTTGCAAAAGTTCAATATGACCTAGAAGCAGAGCAATAGCAAAGGACAATCTTTATACTTTGCAGAAAACAAAGTGTAACTTTAGTTTGGAGGACAAAAGTTTTTAGATGCTACACATTTTTTTAAAATTATCTATGTGTTAGGTTATATTGAAATATTTACTTGTGTTAAGTTATAACACAAGGATATTAAGTACTCCTATATTACTAAAGAGCATTTGTTCACACTTATTTATAAACATCTTTGCTCCAGCACATAGTTTTGGGGGAAGGGTTATCCTTCAAAGTATAACAGATGCAAGTATATGCAATTCAGTGGTAGGAGGAAACTATTTTTATTACGGAAAGATGGATAAAGAATTGGAATCTTTTCAAAAAGAACAGATCACATTTATTAAATAATTCTCTGAAAAACTTTAGATATGAGGCCCAATTTTACATAAAGTTTGGAGTGAAAGTAAAAAGTTTTACTTTCTGTGTTTAATCACAAGATACTAAAAGTTAACAATTTAATAGTCTTTAGGTCAGCAATATGGAATCGAGTCTCAAATCAGATGCAATAGTCACATGCAGATTACTTGTGGCCTAATTCAATCATTAGTTGTCCAATCCATAAGAGAATTTAAGCTAACTCAACTATTTGGGGCAAAAGAGAGAGAGATGAAAACATTCTGAATATGCTTCTCAAATATTACAACTCAATATGTAAGTTAAACATGAAAATTTCCACTTTAGTAGATCTCTTATGCAAAAAAAAAAAAAAACCCTAACACTTTCTTAAGTCACCTCTGCCAGATTATTTAAAGTTAAAACCATCATCTAAAATCAGAAACATAATTTAAAATGTTACTATAGTCTTTGTCAATAGCTTATCAAAACAAACACCAATCATTCCCCCAAACTACAGATATATATAGATCTATAAATTGGAAGGTAAATAAATATTAACTTCAAAGAGTTCATTTTAATTATAAATTGGGAACTGCATTTCTAGAAACATTGGCAATACTGAAACAACACACAAAGAAACACAACCAATATGTAAACATGTAACGATCCTGGCAAAATATATCTCTCTCTAGACAAGCAGAAATAGTTCCTTTTACAAATATTTTGGGAAACAATGCTTAAAATTATACAGGGATTGAAAATATAATTTGTATAGAAGTTTATATGAAAAGGGAAAACACCAAAATTGGTAAATGTTTTTTCATTTTCTTAAAAATGTATCCTTTATAAAGTTCCCCAACTATTATAGGATGAAGTATTGTTTTTAGGAAAAACAAAACGATTGCAAACTGTTTCGATATTGCTCTATGTGTCCGAGTCACTAGCAGCTCCTGCTCTGCTGCTGTCTGGTCCATCACTTTCCTTGTCCCAGTCTTTCATAGATGCTCCCATCATAAAATCATCACGCAGAATCGTCCATCCTGGGCCCTCTTCTGATTTCCCTTCAATCTGAGGAAAATCACAAAAAGAAAATATTCAAGCATCAATTCAATTGTTAAGTGAAAAAAGACCAACATACAAAACAAAGTTTTCCCACATTTAGTTTTGTAACAGGGGTGAAAAGAAGACAAATTAAAAATTGACTTACTTTATATAGTATGATCATATACGTACTAAGATACAATAAAAAAATCTATGTTAACAAAATATTTTAGTAACCTCACAAAAGAAACATGAAAGCAAAATAAAATTTGCTTGGAGCTGGGAGAAAACAGTAAAATCTAAGCGTGGTATCAATTTTAAAAATCTTCTGACAACCAAAACGGTTTTATAATATTATTTAATTTTCACTGAACATTTATTAGAAAATATTTAGAAAACTATGTAAACTAAATAAAATTTAAGAAAGGTTTTTAATTCAAAATAAATTAAGGAAGACAAAGGGAAACTAATCTTGTTTGGTACTATGTTAAGTTTCTAAAGATGCTATCTCATTTTACATTTTATTAAAAATTGAAGCCAATATTCTTTAATAAATAGGTTATGCTCTCATTATCCAACCTAATTATGCAACTGAAGACTAATCACATGCTAAATTATAAATAAGTGAAGCAGGCAACAAGCATTACTAGACAGTCAATTCATTTTATTTAGTCATAGGATTTATAAATACTACCTAGGAGCCTAGGAATCACAGACTCCCATTTCACGGTACAACAGTACCACCTTGTGGTATTAAGTATTACAGCATATGCAGAACTGTGAGTGATGACATTTAATTTCTTCCATAAATATCTACTGAGAACTATGTACTGAGAACTGGTCGTGGTGTTGGAAATACAGTGATAAAACAACAAAGTCCTATCTTGAGAGAGCTAACAGATTATGCACATCTTTTTATTTCATTCACAGATAGAGCACCATTTTCAAATAGTCTTTTAGGAAACAAAAAAAAAAAAAAACACATGACATTTGGTTACCAAGTGTTATTTTTATACAGCCATTTTATTTTATTTGTAATAGAGAGCATGTGTATGAGAGAAGGAACCATAACGTGGTTTCATCATGCCGTGATCCCCTTCCCCTAGCTTGTCAAGATCCTAGGCACACGTGCCTGGCAAGTCTCAGGTCAACCAGGCCACGGATCCAAACTGGCAGCCAGCTATGTGGCTTCTAACACTGCAGTTTAGTACACTACTGATTGCACCACTGAGGCTGGCTCCTTCATAAGGTCATTAATTAACCATGTGTAAAGCTATATTTAAAAGAAAAGATATTTTAAAATGCCTGCTAGGAGGCCAGCAGTTAGCGTAATGGCTATGTCGCTGGGCTCCATGCAGTCGACTGCGGTTCGCAACCCGGACCTGGTGGCTTAAACTCACGCTGGGCGCATGTGGGTGCATGCCCAAGATCCCAAGAGGAGAAAGGAGAAGGGACTGCGGCGTGGGGCATGGCCTTCTGGGGGTGATTTCTCACTTTCTGTCTCTCTGTCTCTCTCTTTCCGGCGAGTGCATGTGCCCTATAGCAAAAACCTCCCCCCCCCCCAAAAAAAATGTCTGCTGGGTCACAAGATAATTAAACACCTAACTCTGCCAAAACTTCCCTTTAATTTAATTTGTTTAGTTTTGGACCAGCAGATGACATAATGGTTACGTCGCTTGCTTCCCATGTAGTAGACCATGGTTCGAGTTTAGACTCAGCAGCTTAAAACTCACACCAGGCATGTGTGCATGCATGTGTGCCCAAAATCTCAAGAGGAGAATGGAGGAGAAGGGACTATGGTATGGCCATCCTCCCAGGGGGTGATTTCTTGCTTTCTTTGTCTCTCTCCATCTTCTTTGACGAGTGTGTGTACCCTATGGCAAAAATCTCTCTTAAAAATAAAATATTTATTCATTTATTTTTAAGGTTTTTGCCATAGGGTACATGCACACACTGGAGAGAAACCGAGTTAAAGGGAGAGTGAGAAATTACCCCACCTCCTCCCACCCTGCAGCAGGGATAGTCATGCTGCAATCCCTTCTCTTCCATTCTCCTCCTCAGATTCTGGGCATGCAAGCACATGTACCCAGAATGATTTTCAAGTCCCTGGGTATGGGATTCAAACTGCTGTCAGACATGTGGGAGTCTAGCGCCGCAACCACTATCCACCTACTGTCCCCAGCTTCCCTTTATTTTAAAAAGTAAAGATTTGAAATAGTCATTCTACTAAAAAAAAAATTAAACACTATTTACAAACCAGAAAAGCATCCTATTGGCTCACTCTTGTCTTCCCCAGATCAAAAAAATCAAGCAGGGTTTGTGCTAAACATAACCTAAAATCTGGGTAACATATAGAAGTGGGCGAAGATTACAGATTTGACTTAGTAAGTCAAATATAAACATATTGTACAATAATGTAAACATAAATAACATGTGTGCAACTCAACAACAAAGTAGTTCTAATGCTTCTCATACCACACTGATTGGAAAACAAAAAAGCAGCAGTTACTTTAGTACTTTCCTCATGGAGAATCCCTTTTTTCTACCCATACTCCTAAAACTGATAATCTGCTTCCATTAGATTAAATTACCACATTGGATAAAAGGCCATCTTCCCTGATTCAATCCAGGTTTTCTTTGCCAATCTCCTTATTTTAAATAAAAGAAGGCTGTTTCCACTGAACAGAGAGATCCACTGAGAACCAACCATTAAAACATTTCTCTTACCAAATTAACAATTCAAATCTTTCAATTAAATTCTCACAAGTATAGAGCCATATCCAAATTACTGACTAGCAAAGACATGTCCTAACTTTGATATTTGTGTCTAAATTTGAATGTGCACAATCTCAATGTCAAGTCTTCATAGTTAGACCCAGCATGCTATCAACATGTCACCAACCAAGAGTAGGCAGATCCTACATGACTGACATCAACACAGTGTTCCTACATGGGCACTCAACTCACTCTGATAACCAATCTTGCTGAACTCTTACTCCTCTACTAAGTAGGCTGAAGGCAACAGCCAGACAAGCTGTGGGCAACAAAGAAAGAACAAAGGACAGCAAAAGGTGGTTTGGGGTGGGGAAAGACCCAGATAAAACTTTAGACATGTAGTTCAGAAAGAAAGGAACCAGAGTAGACCAAATGAAAGGACTCATTAATTAAAAAGGTGTAGGAGCTACCTCACATCCTTGTCTTGAAAGATGATTATTGTAAACAAATATTTCAGACAACAGTTAAGTTGAAAGTTTCTCTCCAGTGTCCAGTTTAGAGAATAACAATAAAGTAAAGCTTTATGGGAAGATGTTTTGGTTTTGGTTTTCAAAGTAATCGATATAATCTATATTGATGGTTCCTAAAATGTGATGACCAAACCAGTAGCATTAGCATCAGCATCACTAGGAAACTTAACAGATCACAGGCCCCATTCCCTACATACTGAATTAGAAACTCCAGTGGTAGGGCTCACTAATCCGTTTTTATATGCCACCCAGTGATTCTGGTGCTAAACTTGAGAACCACCAGCCTATAAAAGGACAAATAATTCTCAGTGACAATTTTCACTCACTGCTTTAAGACTGGCGAAAATTTACCACTGGAGAAAATTTTTATTTGACTTTGAATATCCAGTATTAGACTCAGTATTATATGCCTTAAGTATGGCCATCATTCAAGTTATCATTTTACTGGCATTTTTATACAGTGAAGTAACAATTTAGAGAAAGTATAAACAATAGGAAATTTAGTATAAACAAGTTTGGGTTAATAATATATTTTAGAAACAGATATTTTAAATAAAATCTATCAAGATGGCAGATAAAAAAAACTGTTTTAAAGGCAAGAACTTCTAATGTCTACATTTGCTATAGAAATATGTAATAAGAAAAGAAGCAGAGGGCCTGTATTACTGTGATAGATGCAATATAAACTGGTCTCAACCAATTGCAATACTCAGTAAAACTACAGAAGTGTGATTTGCTGTTTTAAAGATATAACCTACAAACTCAAGATCAGATTCAAATTCTCCAACAGCAACCTTTCAAGAAAGAAGAAACAGACAAATTCCTTTCAAAATAGTTTCAACACACCAAAAAAAGCAATTTCCTATTTAAAATTAAATACTCTGACACATTATTATTCAAGTATAAGGACGGAATGTGGGAATTTCAGACATACAAAGTATCCAAAGTTGACTTCCAATTCAGCCTCTCCGGAGAAAACAAAAAAATACAGAGTCAGCCAAAAAGAAGACATGGGACAGAAAAAAGAGAAGACCTAACACAGGAAAGAGAAGGGTGATCTCCTGAATGAGAGTGAATGGAGAGTCCAGAGTGACAACTTGCATTAGGCGTAAAGGACAACATGCAGCAGTGTGACTTCAAAAGAAGACATGATGAAAATTGTCATGACCATGCCATCTGCTACTGAAACATCATTTTAACTTGACAAACCACTAGATGATATTCTTTTCTAAACAAGGGAGAGTAAACCAAGAAAAATGGAAGCTACATGAACCAAGAAACAGAGAATCCAATTTAGAAGATCCAAGGATCACAGGAAATTTAAGCCAGAGTTGTCACAGAAATGACAACTGCGAAGCAATCCGAGACAGCAATCTCCCCAGACAAAAGAAAATGGAGCCTTATAGGAAAGAATACCTCAGTAAAAATAATTACAATAGATATAGTACCCAAGGTTAATTTGATTTTGAAAAACTAAATAAACTTAAAAAATAAAAAGGTTCAAAAAAAACAAGGCAATTATTAACTTCAAAAAAAAAAAAAACAAATTTTGGGGCATTTTTTCGGAAGAGTCATGACGCATTTTTGCAAAGAAAAACATAGGAAAATGCATCATGACTTTTCTGAGAAGACGATAGAAAGGAAACATAAATATGGAATACTACAACATTCAGCTATTAGAAAAGAAAATACACACACATGTTAATAAAAGTTAAACACTGATTTGTAACATAATAGTTAACTATACTAAGAGGACTAGGGAGAGAAAACAGACTGTGTAAG